TTTTTCTAAAAGATTCTATGTCTTTAGAATGTTACATTCTAGAGTAGATTTTGGTCCATGGTACATACAATCTTTGTGATTAGGAAGGAGACTGTATACAAGTTTCCCTTTAGGTCCCAGCAAGCTGTGTGTGTGTTATGGTCACTTTAACCTCTAGTGAGAGGGCATGTCAAGATTGGAGCAGATCGATCCCCACTGCCATAAAAACAACTTTAACCACGTGCTCAGGTGACATAGACAGAGGTGGCATCTTCATAAACAAAGAACCAAATTCCAAGTCTACAATTCCTTGTTTATCTTTGTTTTACTCTTTCCACGTTTAAATAGATATCGAGGGCCAAGATTTGTTTTCCATTTGTTTGTTTGTATAGACACTTCTTTATGACTTTTCTTCATTACAATAAAAGGCCCTAAGGTAGCTTACAAAGATTAATTGAGCAACTAAAAATAAACAAGAAAGTAAAGTAGAAAGGACTGTAAAGTAGAAGAGAAAAACAAGATGAAGCCAAGGCGGGGTCAGTTTCCAGGATGCACACACAGCGTGGCATCCATGTGCAGGCGTCAGGCAGCCGCCAGTCTGACTCTGAGAGGCAAACTCGAAGGATTCCAGATTCATGTTGATCACCAGATAAGGGTAAACCTGTTTCTGAGACAATTGAAAACCTTTCCACTTGCCTAGCCTTGGTGAGTAGGACTATGATTAATGTCTGAGGTGAGGTCCCTACCATAAACATAGTGATTAGTTTTATTCGGCTGTTCTGATAACATTGTAAAATGCAATTTATGGCCTAACAGTTCATCAGAATCACTTCCTCAAGAGCCAGAGCATCCCAGTTCACACTTCCCTGCTGGTTAAACTTAATCTCAAAAGAACATTTAAAGAAACAAAAGAAAGCTCAACTCCACAGCCTTTGTCGTGATCACTCATGAGGATTATTTCTTATAACCGTAATAAGAATTGAATATTTAAGGGTTCAGGTGATATTCTCTTGCAAGAATTTCAAGAGCTGAAATTCTGCATAGTCACTTTAGGATAATCTTATAACCTTTGAGGATCCCACAAGCGGGGCACAGGATTACTTTCCGCATTAAAATGAACTAACCATTTCATGTTCTTGAAAGTGCAGTCGTACCACCTCTGCTTGGAAGTGCCCTGAGGAAAGACCCATGGAGAGGATCAAACTGTTTTTAAAAAAATTATTTTGGGGGTACAGCAACAGAAGGCAAAGAGGACAAGAAGACCCCAGTGTCCTACCCTATAGAGCAAGGTGGCAATGATTTTAGCCTGGAAATTTTTCAGAGTGGGTACAATTAGTCATCCCCCAACCAGGAAAAAACAAACAAACAAACAAAAAAACTAGGAATCTTGTAAGAATCCACTGAATGTCAGATTTTAAGTGATATAACTTTTGGAGATGCATCCAAGAAGCTTTGGATGAAAACATACTTCTAGGCAGTTCAGTCTAGGCGGGGCATCTGCCAGGAGTTTTTGAGTAGTTGGTTTAAGCCACTCTTTTTTGACAACAGAACCACTGACATCTTTATGCATAATTTGAATGAAGTTTAGAAATACTATTTGATTCTCTCCTTTTTCACTTCTTCCAACTTAGACTTTCATTCCCTTATTTTATTTTTCTGCTTTTCTCTAAGATGGCAAATAGATCCCATGCCAGTCCCAATCATGGATGGGTCTCTGTTTAGGAAAACATTGTTAGGTTTTGTCTATGCTCAGCATGAAAAAATTTTCCGGCCTGGAAGGGGTGGTCTGAGGCTCTGAAGATCTTTCTCCTCTTCTCCGACTACTCTGTCTACAGTATTCAGCATAATAAGTATCAATGATATCAGGCTCTAACTTGGAAATAGTGGGAGAGAAAAACTAGAGTGCAACAGAGACCCCGCCCACATATAGCTTTCAACCTAGAGTACAGAGTAGGTAAGACCTACTCAGATAACCATAATATGAGGTACAGTGTGATATAAACTGTAAGTACTGATAGGAGGGAAAAACCGTTCATGAAATTTAAGAGAATACTACATTGTCTTCTTTTGCCCCAAGTCTTGACTCCATTCAGTTCAATAAAATCTTCTGTGCACCTGCCAACTTCCAGGCCCCAGGTGAGGGGCTAGGGGTCCACCGGGGTCAAGAACAACATAGTCACTTCAGAGTTGCTTCCAGCAAGAGTCGTAAGAGCTTTGTAAAGGCGTCTGCCTGAGGCCCGGGACTGGGTTTTTCTCTGACATATTTTGTATGTCCCCTCAGACAGCCCAACGCCTAGGAGGAGACAGAGCAAACATTTTTCCCGGAAAGTCACTTAACATTGAGACACAGCAGCTGGAAATTGGCAAGGTGCCCTCAGAAGACTGAGGAAGTGATTTATTTCTCCAGCCTCGCCACAGGAGCCAAAGCCCTGGCAGATGCCTCCATGAGTTAGCGGCAGCTGATCTGAGTGAGATCAGTATTAATTATTAGTCACTTTTGAGTGTCTTTCTCAGAAACTACAGAGTACTTGGGAAGCCCAGACCCTCTTGAGTTGCAATCAATACTGTGTATACCTTGCACAGGGACCTGAGTGGCATATAATTATAAAATAGCATTGATTCCTAGCAACAAGGTTGAAAATGTACAAATCCTTCATATAAAAATCAGCTAAATCTTCCAAAGGCTTTTTTTTTTTTTTTTTTTGCCTCAAGAAAGAGACCAATGGTGGGAGTAAAAAACTTGAAATGTTAGCTAAATTAGGGCTATTTCCTGCCAGGAGCCAGATCTGTACACATAATTATTTTATTCTCTGTGCTGGCATTGATTCGCTTTGGTTGGGTGTTGGAAATATCTCTGTTTTGAGTCTGTAATCCAAATTATTCACTTGGTTCCCGTGATGATGTTTCCTACTCATATCTTCCTGTATTATTTTTTTCTATAAAACAAATAATCGCATGTCTGGAACTTGACTCATCCCTACCCCCCAGCGTACCCCTCGTTCCCGTCCCTACACCTGCTTTGCCTCCTCTATCGCACCATCTGCCATACTCTTCGGCCAAAATATCACTCACCCTCACACACCCCATAGACAGCAAACTGCCTATTTTATTTTGGCCTAATTCCGATTTTTCCTTCAAAGTCGGCACCCACTCCAGTCCTGTTAGAGTAACTGGAAATCTGGATAGGGTTTAGTCTTCTTTTCCTTTTGGCTGCGTCTCCATGCTCAAAGACAATTATGAACATGGACTCCTCCACTGCCTTTGTTTCACTCATAGATGCCCTATCATTTTCTGCCTTGATCCATAGAATGACCTCGCGCTACGTTCCAGCTTCTAGTCTTGCTTCCTCCTGTGGCTGACAGAGGCCTCTTGAAAATGCTATCTGATCAGGGCATTTGACTGTATACAGTTCTCCAGTGGCTCCCCATCGCCTACAATCTAAGATGGACAGATAAATGTTGAGCCTCAAAAGATGCAGCTTATCTCCCAAACCTCAGAGGTTACGGGAAGATGGAAGCCTGGAGGGTTGCAGGAGGGAGGCACCTCAGGAAGGCTGCCTCATCATGGGTTTCTTTGGAGTTTGGCTTATCTGTGGTTGGTTTAGCTGGGGCTGTGACAGCTTTTGTACTAGAAAGCCGTTCCTCTGGTTGTGCAGAGCTAGCTTGCCAGTGGGATACAGTTACAATCCATTCTATTTTGAGTAACTAATGTTTCCTGAGCCAAGCAGTGAAGTGTTGTCGAGAAAGTTACAAGGGGCTAGACCCCCTGAGATGTCTCCTCCAAACCTTGTATTTGAGGAAGAAAAAATTCTAATGCCAGTCCTGGGCTCTGACGCAAAGGGAAGGGCCTGCAGCATTTCTCAGAAGGGATGCTAATGGCAAGTGGCATGCGAAAATACTTTGTAATGACGGACATGTTCCTCAGTCATTGAGAGAACCAGAAAACCTCCCACATTCTGCCACACATTCCAAATGCTCCAGTACTATCCCTGCTTGAGAAACACTGGCTCCTGTGACTACTCCTAAGATGTTCTCCTTTCCCGAGAGTATAATGAAGAGCTGGATTAGTTTGTTGATCTTTTTATCCCTCCTGTTGCCTCTTCATCTTCCATAGTGATTTCACTCAGATTGGAGTCACCTGATGTGGCTTTGCAATCAAGCTCAACCACTTACTGGGCATGACCTTGAATGTGGGCATGACCTTGAACAATTAATCGCTCTGGGCCTCAGTGTTCTCATATAAAATAGGGGGTAATAATAATAATATCTACGTCACAAGATTCTTGTGAAGATTAAATAAGATAAAGCATGAAAGGTGCTTACCACATGGTCCACTGTCAGAGGCGTGGTAATAATTGCATGAGATGATGATGGTTCCTGAGCTTAAGGGTCTTACTTGAGCAAGAAGTCAAAATTGACACTTAAAAAATTGACTGCTTCAGAAAACAAAAAGGCCGCATGGTGTATCAGAAAGGGTAGTTGACTGGATGGGGATCAGTAAATTCTGTTGTACCCTCAGCCATTAATTACTGTATGGCCTTGAATGTGTCACTTTCTTTCTCTGGTTTTTGCTTTCTTTATCTAAAGTGTTTGCCCTATGTGGTGTTGAAAGAATGAATGATATGAGCATTGTGAATGTGCTTTAAAACCTCTAGAATCTCATAACACTTCGATGAGATATAATAAGTAACTTACTATACACTGGAGTTTCCTACCCCTGATTTGAAAGCCTCCATCAGCCAATTGAGAGACAGCACTTAATAGGAATTTCTCAGGAGACCTGGACAGTCTACCTGCACGGCAAATAGCAGCGTGTTCTGCCTGACACTGAACTGCTGTCCCCGTATCCTTGCCAATGTGTGCCCCAATTGCACAGGGGAGAGAGAGCCTTCAGGCATGTCGACATCTCTCATTAAGAGCTCACCTCACATCCGAAGTTCTGCAGCTTTCCCTGCTGGTTTCCTGACCCCGCCTCCCCATTGTGCCCAGTTCCTTCAGGGTTGTCTGTTTCTTGCCCCACAGCAACAGAGGCGGGAGAAAGAGCTGCGAAAGCAGCAGGAGCGGGAGCAACGCCGGCACTATGAGGAGCAGATGCGCAGGGAGGAGGAGAGGCGGCGAGCGGAGCACGAACAGGTACCGCTGGGACCGGGAAGCCCCACTGATGCCCCAGGGTGAGCTCCAGCACCAGCTGTCTCCAGGCTGTGGGTCATCTTCTCTCAGGACTGCTCAGTTTAAGCAGGTTTTTATTCTTTCTCGAGCAACTATTCTCACCCATTCAAGAAGTCAAATGCACAGCCTTGGCAAGGCCCACTCATTCAACCTTGCTTCCTACCCAGGCCAGAGTCCCCTGACACACCTTGATCTTTGGATTCTCCCAACCCTGGGTATCTACTTTGAAGGTAGCACTGAAGCATGATAAACGAGCCATTCACAAGAACTTTTCTACTCGGGCAATCTCTGGTCTCCATTACTTTGAGCGGTTGATGCAGGACCCCTCTCTCTTTGTTAGAATCACATTTTGAAAGCACAGTGAAACTCTGCAGGGTGGTTCCATTACGAAGTGCACAGTGGCATTCAACAATTATTTTATCCCTGCTGCTTGCACAGGAGCCTCCTTACTTCATAGCATTGTTAATTCCGGGTAGCCCATAAAGAGTGAACCTGTAATGAAAAGCTTTAAAATGTAGCTGGGTTTATTAAAACCAAATGGTCACAGCAAAGCACTGAGCCATCTCAGTAAACTGTTGCAGATAGCGGGCTTGTGCTTTTGACTGCATTGAAATGCTTTTGCTTTGGTGTGCATACTTTTCTCATTTTGTGAGGAGGTGTCTGGGTATTTTTTATTTTCCTTCTTTCCTTCCACACTTTACTTGGCAGCTCTTGTCACCTTTGAAATTACCAGTTCTTTTTCTCTCTCTTCCTCTCTTTGTGTTCCTCTGAATTCTCTGCTGCCTACCTCTCCAGGAGTACATCAGGCGACAGTTAGAGGAGGAGCAGAGACAGTTAGAGATCTTGCAGCAGCAGCTACTGCATGAACAAGCTCTACTTCTGGTAATGGGAAAGCCAAGAACCAGCTGACCTGCTCTGTGTTCATCGTGTGTATGTGTGTGTGTATGTGTGTGTGTGTGTGTTTACACACATACATGTGTGTGTTTGTCCTCCTAAGGTGCCAGTCCAGAAGAAGGGATCCTTCAAGCCTCATTGACCTCAAAAATCTTATAGAGACTTCATACATTTCCTGACCCAGTTTGCCGAGCCTTAATACATTTAATATACTTGTTATGCACTCTTTATTAACTCCATCTATCTATAAAACTTTAACATGAATCCAGCCTTATTATAAGTTCAGACTGTTTTTGAGACCCACTGTGTTTATTGCAGAGTAATTTTTAAGGTCATTTGTAATATGCTGGAATGCAGTCACAGCAAAATACACCTCTTCCATAAGCACTCACTCAGCTCTGCAGTGATATTTCATTTGCAGAATATTAATTTTACTCTTACGACTGAAACATTTTGTGTTCCTTGCTCATGCAGCTTCCACTAGAAGTACTTTTTATTATTATTATTTCATTGCTCTCCAAATGAGCTTCTTGGTGTATGTTGTTTTTTAATTGAACTTTTTATTCAGTGGCACTATGATGATTTTTAGCCTACACATAATCTTAATAATGGCTTTTGTAGATCCAAATTCTGTCAAACAAAAATGATTAAGGCAATATCTTTAGCTACACATTTAGTTTTGTTCTTAATTGTAGACATTTGAATGGTTTAATTACTAAATCAGGAAGTGGATGGCTCCTTATAAGGAGTTGTGTACCGACCATCCATGTGTCCTCATTATTGCCACTTTCCTGGTCGTAATTCATCTGGGATAAGTTACTTTGTAACGGGTGGTGTTCCGTAGGGATTGCCATTAAAGCAATAGTGTTTTCATTAAATGCCACATTCTGTGTAGATGTTAACCCAAGGCTGTGGCTTATCTCTGTGGCACATCTGGAGATCTTCCTGTGGTTCTCTGTTAGTATTGAGGTCCTTTGTTATTTAGCATCACTTTTGAGTCCATTGCATGCTTAGCTGGTACTGAATGATTTCTGTATGGTGATGTGGCCTTTCTTTGCTGCTCTTTCCTGATCTGGACAGGAATATAAGCGCAAACAATTGGAAGAGCAGAGACAAGCAGAAAGACTGCAGAGACAGCTAAAGCAAGAGAGAGACTACTTGGTTTCCCTTCAGCATCAGCGGCAGGAGCAGAGGCCTGTGGAGAAGAAGCCACTGTACCATTACAAGGAAGGAATGAGTCCCAGCGAGAAACCAGCATGGGCCAAGGAGGTAAGTGGGCAAGCAAGTGTAGCCGCACTCTGATGTCTGTAACAGCTGCCTCTTTCTCCTAGATCAATAGTTCAACTTTATGATCCTACTCCCAGGTGCAGCACCGACCCCCTTAATAACCCACTTTAGTTCTTCCAGCTAAGCAGAATCACTATGCTGTTAAGCAGAAGTTGACATATGTCCTGGCTGACAGAGATGTACCACCTTCTACTGCTAAACCATTTTCTAGCCGTGACAAGTTGAAACCCTCAGCTAAGCCAGACTCACGGATCCTGATTATGGCAGATGTTCAGAAGGCTGAAAAACTAGTGTCTATTAAGCTAACGCCAGTAACACCAGCAGAAATTAGTGATTCCAAATCAAGACTATTGTTTGAGCATCCCTCATGGAAGAAAGATGGACCAACTAGTCCTGTTAGACTTGGTCCTGAAGAACAATTGAAGCCTTGGGAAGCCTCAAGGACCATAGAGAGTTCTCAAAAGTGATCTCGCTCACAAGGCTGTAGTACAACTTCAGAGTTAGGATCTAAGGTCATTTGTGTGTCCTCTTCCAACATCTTTAAAATGATAAATCCCTACTGGTCCATTACTGCAGTTAAAGAGAGCCTTAGAGACTCGTGTGGACCTCAGGGCAGAAGGGGCATGAATTCGTGCATCTTAACAAGTATCTCCACTCCTCTAAGAAGTACTACATTGCTAAATGACCTCTCCTTGACTCATGACCTCCTGGCCTTCAGTGTTCCCAGCCCCAAGCCTAAATTTAGGACAGGCATACCTGCAGATCTTATTGGAGAAGACCGTGATTCCTTGCAAAGCATCCCAGAATTCCTTGAATTCCTTCTTTACACTGTGCAGTTTCCTCATGCTCAAATATACCAGAAAAGAGGAAAAAGTCTGGAGCGGTGTTCACTTGTTCTTTCCACCTCGACCCAGCATATTCTGATTTGAACTTAACTGCTTTGACTTCATTGTTTTCTAGTTACTATTTGCCCTCATCATTAAATGTCCTAGCCTGTCCCCTCTCTTCAGGATTAGTTCACGGGAGCATTCAC